CTGCAGAGGAGAGCGAGGTTGACTGTCTTGGGTGTGTTTCTTCTGGTGTCTATCCCTGGCCACCCCAGATGACTTCAGCTGACTGTGGATCCTGCCAGGAGACTCGGCCTCCGCCTCCTCCTCTCCCTCTCACATCTCCACTTGCTTGAATCCCACCTATCCTTTTTGCCCCTTCATTCCTGAAAAACAAGTGCATAAGTGTTGAGAAGTACAGAAACATATAAGAAAGCAGAAAAACCACAATTATCATCAGGAGCCAGGAGCAAAACTCTACAATTTGGGGAGATTTCCTGAAATTTTTTTCAATCCTTTAAAAATTTTCTATTTACCATCAATTCATATTGTGTGGGTAGTTTCCTATCTGACTTTTTTTTTTTTTTACTTTATTCTTCCATCATAAGCATTTTTTCGTATCATTCAAAATTTTTTGTACACCAACTTCATGATTGCTGTCTTGTCATTTGAGGTGCAATTCCCATAGGTGCCTCTCTGTCCGAAGCCTTCTCAGTTGACGAAATTGGCGTCCATCGACTCTCAGAACGCTCGGATAATGCCTCCATTAGCGAAGCATTTGTGACCGTTTATCTACTTTCATCCCTGTCCAGGTGTACCTCTAGTCTCTTCTGCTCCCCACATCTCTACCTGGCAGCTATAAGGTCACATCCCACACATGTACACATCACATGCCTACCAAGTGGTTCTGGGATTGAATAGAGGCTGCTGGTTAGATAAGAAAGAAGCTGGCATTGGTAGACAGTGTTTCGTGTTCGGTGCATGTGGGAATTTCTATAAAAGCTGATTTCTATCTCTGTCTTAATTCAGGCCTAGGGACATAACGATGGCTTATTCGGTTCATGATATAGTGGTGCTTCCTCTGAGTGCCTGGAGCATTTGAAGAGGCCACAGAGGAGCTGCGTCTGCAGGCAGGGCAAAAACCATTCACATCAGAAGGCTCAAATCCCTGCCCGAGGGCGTTATTGTCTTACAGCTGCTGGAAGCCCAGCCTGGACCTTGATTCATCCTTATGTTTCAGCCATATGTGCAAGTATCCTCTTCCGGAGGCATGAGCTATACCAGTGCCATCTTAGCTTGTTTGCATATGTGGATGTTTATCTCAGTTTGTACCAAGACCACATCTAACATAAGGAAAGCCACAAACACCTATGAATAATATTGAAGGTGAAATAATTAGGAGTGGGTACCTTCCACCCACAACTTTGCTTCATCTAACGTATGGGGCTACTGGTAATAGCTCTGTTTATACCTGTTGTGGAAGACCCAAAACTAAAAGTCTGCAGTGCTCTGTTGCTAAGGAGCTTACGGGATGAGATGGGTACTCTAGAATAAAGACCTACAGATTATGGCCCATGAGTCCACTGGCCTCACACCTGTTTTGTAAATAAAGATCCATTGGAACTCAGCCACGTCCATTCATTCGTATATTGTTTATGGCTGCTATTGCACTACAACAGCAGAGTTGAGTAGTGGAGCAGACATAGGGCCAAAAAAGCCTAAAATATTTACTCTCTGGCTCTTTACTGAAAACATTTGCTGACTCCTGCTCTAGAAACATCAGTGTTCCTCTGAATCTCGCAGTGAGTTTTTCTCTGAGTCTGTCAAGCCCTTTTTTGTGTTCGTGTGTTTCTCCTCTCCCCTCCTCAGCCTTACTCAGACACCTCTTCTTTTTTTTTTCCTCTAGTGGCAGTAATATAGAACTAGAGTATACTCCTAGTTGCAAGCTTTTTGAGCACTTATGAGGTGCCAGGTATTGTGCAAAGTCTACTCATGTATTGACTCAGTTAATCCTCGTAACGACCCGGTAACACAAGTACCTTCACCACCTACAGATGGAACATTTTACAGGTGGCATCTCGTGGATAAAACATGGCAGAGCTGAGATTTGCACGTTGACAATTGGGCCTCTGACACCTGTGCCCATGACCATAGCTCTAAAGTGCCTTGCAAATGTTGAGCTTTTCTCTCTCTCTCTCTCTCTCTCTCTCTCTCTCTCTCTCTCAAAACCTCACCAGATTATATGTGTGTACTTATCACAAGCCTGTTTATTTCAAGGATCATAATACAGTGATGGTAATGATATGTCAATCTTGCAAAAGTAAAATAAGGAAACAAGGTTGGGTTGGGGTGTGGGGGTGGGCAGTTAAGAACTCAAGGCTCAGAGATTCTGGGCTGACTTAGTTGCTAGAGCGGACCCTTACATTTAACTCTGAACTTCTTGACAGTCAAATGATGAAGGAAGATACTGCCATTTAAATGGTTTTAATTAAAATAAGGGGTAAAGTACCTGGTTAGTATTTGCAAGCTTTTCTTAGCACTTATCTCAATTATTTCCAAAGGGACTTCTGTGGGACTAATTAACGTATCAGGATTAGTCACCCAGGGGGATTTTTTTTTTTATTCTGTGTGTGTGGTAGACACCTCCTTTGTCAGGATGGCTGTACTGGGCATGCTCACTTCAGTGTCTTTTGCTTCATGAATGCATAACCTGAAAGTATTGTCAGAGGGATCCTTTCTGAGAAAACAGTTATTCATTAAAGCATTTTAGGGCAGGACTGTTCAGATAATGATGGTGATATTTAGTTCATTTCCATCATCCATTCTTCCTTTCCTACTCCCTGACTCTGTCCACAAGCCATTGGAGCTTCTGGCAATTTCACAAACAGACTACCCCTCACAGGAGTACTTCCTACCCATCCCTCTTCCCTGACCAGTGTCTTTCCTTCTAGAACTACCTCGGGCATTCCCTCCAGCAAGTTTCCTTAACCATTTCTCCCAGCCACCATCAGGCTGGGTGCCTCTTTTCTGGGGGGGATCTCACAGTTTCTTGCATTTAATGTTTAAAGATCATGTGTCCCCAGGATCACAAAAATTAGTTGTACATTATGTGCAGGTTGAAATCCATAGATGGATAATTTTTGTAAAATTGTGAACTATCACACACACACATAAATGTGCAGTATAATGAAGCATTATGATAAGAACACCCACATAACCACCATCAAGATGGGAAATAGCATGTAATCAGGACCCTAGAAGCTTCCCAGGTCTTCTTCTTGATCACACCCCCCACCTCCCCAGTGTCCTCACTTTCAGGGCATCAGTTTCTTGCTTTTCTTTATACTTTCACCACCTGTGTGTATACCCAGACTTTATAGTTCATTTTTGCCTGTTGTGAGTTTTCTATATGGGAATTGTACTGTCGGTAGTTTTTCGTGTCTTGCTTCTTTCACTCGGCATTGTACCTCTAAGATTCTTCAGTGCCTTGAAGGTTATTCATTTTATTGCTTTAGAGGAAATGTTTCTCAACCTTTTTTTCATTGTTGCCCCCTAAACAGCCTCTTTAGACATTTTTTTCTAATGCCCCCATGAAATTTTAATACCTGAGATATGCTGTATAACTGTGTTTTATATATAAAAAGAAGATTTTTTTTAATCTATAAGATTCCACTTTCACCTCCTTTGGGATTCTGTCCACCCCACTGAGAATGCATATTTCCACCCTCAGCACTATTGCCATTTGCACCTGATAATTCTTTGCAGTTGAGGCTGACCATGTAGGGTGTTGAGCAGATCCATTGGCCTCTACCCACTAGGTGCTAGTAGTACACCCCTTCTTACGTTGTGACAGCCAAAGTATCTCTAGACATTGTCAAATGTCTCCTGGGGGAGCAAAATAACTCCTGATGGAAAACCACTAAAGCTGTTGAACACAACCTGAGCACTGGCTGTTGAGCACAACACAGGAAATAGTCTGACTGTTTGACAGTAAGAGGTCAAGTAAACGATGAGGCATCAATGTCCAGCAACTGCCCTCATTGCTGCCATCGGCATTTTGCATAACCTAGGAAGCGGGGAAAGGAATGTGATACCTGGTGCATATAGTATGATACCAGTTTTGAGAACAGAAAACAATTTCTGTATATTATTTGTGTATATTTAGGGTGTGTGTGTGTGTGTGTNGGTACTTCTGTGCAAACACTTCTGGAAGTTGAGTGAAAATCTGAGTGTTAATCATTGTCCATTGCCAAACACCAGACATTGAATGTGTAGAAAAGGAGGCTTTCTTGAGCCACTTGACCAGATCTTGCTGATAAACTGGTAACTCTTTGAATTGGCATTGGGCCCTGTTTGTGGCTGACCAGCTAACTTTAATGCTTTCTCCTCCTATATGTCTTGTATGGCCAGTGACAGCATCTAGTTAATCAAGATGGGAGATGTAGTTTCTGGAATGGCGTCACTGGGTCGCTTGGTAGCTGCACTGCCTTCTCTTCCTTGATCTACTTTTACAGAATTATATGTAAATGATAAGTTTTTTCTTGTCTTTTGAAACTACTGGACGTTATTTTAGCTGTAAACCATGATCGGTCAGAAAGTCCCATGTAGCTGCATTTCTATATTCGGAAGACCTCAGTTTCTTTCGATGAGGGTGGTGATGAAGACTGTCCTAAGAGCAGCTGTCATTGATTAAGTTTACTATGTAGAGGGCTAGTATGCTAAGTTCTGTATTCATTTCCTTCTCAGTGGATTACCTCACATTTTACACTCTTAGTGTAGTATTAGTGCTTCCGCATTTAATCTGTACAGCAACTTTATGAAGTACATGCTCCATTATCCCCACTCAAGAATGTAAATATATGATATATTAGAACTTAATTTTAAAAAGACAAAAACCCTACTGTGAAAAGAGGAGGACACACCAATTCAGTCACTCTTTTTCTTCATTCAACAAACGTTGGCAGGATTCCACCTGTGCTCCAGGCTTTGGGTCCTCATGGCAGGGACAGGATCAGGCATACTGTTCCCTGTCCACTGAGAGCTCAGCTGAGGAGACGATTCCTTGTAAGACAACTTTTGTCTCACTTTTTGTGCATGCAGCTACCCCATTTCAGAAGGTAATTGTTGAATCCAGTATATTTCCATTTGTGCTATCACCCTCAGGGTAATAAGGCTGTGTTGTGTCTGTTGGTACTCAGAGGTGTGTGATGGTGTTAAATTCGTCTTGTTTTCCAGGTTACCTTGCAGCTGTGGACAAGTGGTTGGGAGTCATTCTGCCCAAGATGAAACCTCTCCTCTATCAGAATGGAGGGCCCATTATAACAGTGCAGGTAACCATGGAGATGAGCATGAGCATATGTAGGAGTGATGCAAACTTGAACTTCATAAGTCTGCTTCCTATAAGAGGCAATGCCACAGGTGGTGCTCTTATTTAAATTGCCTTTTGAGGAGGTCTTACCATTTTTTGAATGCCTGCTGTATACCAGACTCTGTGCTGGGTGCCCTACACATGCTATTCAATTATTCCAACTACTGTCTTTTTTTTAATGAAGAATTTCAAAGAGGTTAAGTGACCTGGCCAGAGACACCCAGCCGACAGATGGCAGAATCACGACTAGCACCCTAGGTCTGCTAATCCTGTAGCCTCTTTCTCTTGCCTTCTGGGTACAAGGATGCAGCATGGACTAAACTTCTTTGGTGTCCGCNGGAGTCACTTGCCACTGTCTGAAATGCAAAAGGTGGAAGTTCTCATGTGGTCTCCTCCTTGCTCTGTAGAATGCCCCTCAGAGAACATTCGAGATTGACTACAAATACGACCGCTTCCTTAAGGATGGCCAGCCATTCCGCTACATCTCAGGCAGCATTCACTACTTCCGCATACCCAGCTTCTACTGGAAGGACAGGCTGCTGAAGATGAAGATGGCTGGGCTCAACGCCATCCAGATGTAAGTCGGCAGGCACTTGGTTCTCACCTGGGCCTGGACACACACACCTGGAGAGGGGGTTCAGCTGCGTTTCTCAGTGCAGCTATTTCATTGCTCAGAATGGGACATAGCATTGTCTGGCCTTCTGGGAAGGGTTTGTCATGAGCTCGACTAGCCCTTCTTCAGATAATTTATCAGGTCTCCCAACCTTGAACTTTGTCACCAGAAATTATAAAATGAATATCAGCTTAACAAGGCAAAGGGAATTGAGCATTTACCATGTACAAGGCACTTTACATGAATGATGCTATTTCTTCAATATATTACTAAAATTTGCCCAAGCACATGTTTTTGGCCAGAGGACCAACTAGTATTTGAAGATAAGGGTATCTGTAGGTAGTCATAGCTACTCTCAGATCTTAGGGGAATATGCCTTTTTGGGTAGATTTCTGAAACCCAGTCTGTTTTTGTGGTTCTGCTGGGGTCATTCTATAGCCTGGGATTATAAAATTACCCTCATAGTTATCTCTCCTCATCTCTTCTGCTGTTGCAAGGTGACTAATTGGAGAGAATTGGGGTGGCTGGCCACTCTTGTTTTTGCACTGCTGATGTGAATTGCTACCAATTTTGCAAAGATAAAGAGTGAGAAAACCCAGAGGCAGATTCTTGGGACCGATAATTAGGGAGAACCCCACTTATTATTCTGGTCCTAAGGCCATGGGAACCTATTTGTAGTTTCAACCCTACATTCTAAGGGACCAAGTCTATCTATCTGTTCCAGGGAACCCTGAATCCATGGGGTTGTGGAAAAAGGACATGAGCCAGGGATTGTCAGAGAGACCTTTGTGATGGCAGTGGGTGGCTTCATACCTAAATTTATACTCCACGTTGTAGGCAGCCAGGGGGGCTGGTTGGACCTTTTGTCATTTTACTTCCTGCATGCCGTCTCCTAACAAAGCCTCCTGTTGGGAGGACACAGGGGTTAAAGGTTTCTTTCGTTTTTATTAAAAAGTACTTTTCCAAAAATCAGGGCAGTCATGTACCGCATAATGACATTACGGTCAACGATAGCATGTATGATAGTGGTCACATAAGATTGTAATAGAACTGTAGAATTTCTACGGCCTAGTGACATCATAGCCATCATAATGTCACAGCACAACACATTACTCACATGTTTGTGGTGATGCTGGTGTAAACAGACCCCATATAGAA